AACAGGTAATTAGATCGACTATTTCGTAATTTATCAATCAGAATAACATTGTTTGAAATCGTTCTGGACCTCAATGGCGCATTTGAATTCCGTAATGAAATGCGTGAGTTTTTCGTGAAAAGACTGAAAAACTCGTCAGTTTCAAGCCAGTAAGTCTGGGTTGCTTAATTTTACCAATGCCTGATTTTTATTCAGTTTGCTTTTTTTCGCCTTCTAGTTCGTTTCTTTTAATTTCGTCCTTAGATTTAAGAACAATTAGCTGTTTTGATTTTATCAATACTTTCAGCCAGATAGAAAAAATTGTCTTTTCAGATGCTCGACGAAAATTTTGTGTTGAATTCCTTTAAAACTTTCCTCTCATCTGATCCAAAAGTCAAAATGCTTACTTAGCTGGAAAATATGTAGGTACTTATTGGGATTTCCTAAGTTTTCCGGTTAATTTTTTTTCCGAACTTTTTAGTTACAAATAAAAAAATCCTTCTATTTGTGCATTGTTGATTCTTAATTGGCTAAAGTTCAGTGCATCCGAATACAGTTATTTTTTAAACCGTCGCCTATGCCTTTTCTATTTTTCTGTTGTTGTTAGGCTCAGAAATGGACAACATCTACCCACAAATCCATGCTATCATTGCAATTAGATAATATTTTTTTCTTCTATAATTTACCTGTAAAAAACAACAGCATTTATTTTTACGTAATTGCAATAGAAAACAACAAGTTTATTCTTGGTTAGTCAGCCTTGACATCGAACTTACACTTCCTGTTATCCATTACCAGCCATTCTACTGATGAAAATATCACTTGAAGGGGGTGTGTCTTCAATAATTGCTCCATTACGTAAAAGCCATCGGTTTTCGTGTGTTGCTCTTAGAAGCAAAAATTTCCCCGAGTTTTCAAACGTTAAAAAGCTCTGAAATGTCTTCGAAAGTAAAACAAGTTTTCCAATTGCGTGCTAACAGAATTAACGCAGCTAATTTAATTAGATGCCAGCTAATTGCTTCTGCAAACACCCATTTGGTTACATTCCTTATACAGTTAACCAGCAGGATTTTTTTGACACCGTTTTGAAAGCATATTGTACCAGCAAGCATAAGTGAGAACAAGAAGCTTGACTACACATAAAAAAGGTTTTTCTTCATGAAGTAAACTCAGTAAATCAGACAGGGTTTTTTTGGAGTTGTGTTCTAAAATAATATTTTTTGATGTAAGACCGATTTGTTTTTTGTCGTCTAAAAGAGCATTAAAGGAACAGGCGGTTTAGCTTTTTTTTACTTCAAAAAGTTGGGAAGTTTTTAAAACTCTGGGCGATCAATCCGAGGGTATTTTCAAACAAAACCCTGTCTGTGATTTAGTGAATTTATTCCCAGTTATTAGTTTCTTTCCTGGGCTCCAGTCACAGTGTGAAATAATTTTTTTGTATATCGTTTATTTCGCTACGTTTCGGCGAGACAACAGCGCTATCATCAAATTTATTCCCAGTTAAAGACTCGCACGCAAGAAAATTGCTGAAAAAATGAACGGTGACAATAATTGTTATATACTGACAATAATAAGCCACTTGACACGCTCGTGCGGATATTTTCCCCAGAATCATGTATATTGGTGGAAACATTGACGGTGTACGATCAAAAATAAATTAACTAAAACAATCTCAAACATTGAGTTCGTAGAAATTGATAAATTGGCCTTAAATCCTTCCGCATCGTCAAGGAAAATACTACTACTAAACCTCTCAACCATTGGTTTTGTGTTTCACTGTCGGAACAATTGCAAAATTATTCCGGCTGGCATTGACTATTGTTGCAATAAAATTGCATCAACCAATTAAATAATACTTAACATATAATGGCTTTGTTGGCCAAATATACCGACTGGAAAAAATATCGGAAAAAATGCAACAAAACACAAAAAAAATCGCGAATAATGAGAGGACGCGTTGTTGCTAAATAATATCGACTCCCCAGATTAGCTAATTGAATAGTTTATCATAAAACTCGTCGATAATGCCATATGCCTAGGGAATTTGCTTATTAATGGTTTGTTAACATAGCATTTAGGTACATGACGCTAATTAATATCCATAGCGCTACATGAGACCGTACGTATTACCAAAAACAAGCTTCAATGTGGAGGATTTGAGGAATTTGTTTAGAACTGTGTTACTTTTGGAAAACTTACTAGTAAAAAATACTTCAATTGAACATACCTATACATGCTGATTTGCATGGAGGGCGCGTATTTTGTAAAAGGGATGTTTTATATTACATTTGTAAGTAAAATACAGTGTCGATGTTCATTGCAACACCCTGTATATTTTTTCAGTTTTTAATTCCACGTTTTACTCCCCGATACTTTTCCTTGAGTATTCACTTAATTTTTGGTACCATGGCTTGAATGAACGAAATAAACTAGTTTAGTGTTTATTTTTTTATAATTTTTAAGTGCTTGTCGTTTTCCAAATTTGAGAAACATTTGAAATCATTTTTCTTTTAAAAAATTGATATTTTTGCAAACGGAAGCAATTTTATATGGTTTATTTTTATATTTTATTATTAATTTTATATTAAATCTGAGGATCCAAAAACAAGCTTCTTAAAAACACAACATTTACGGCGCGAGTGAATATTATTCGGAAGACGGAAAATGCGTTCCCGATAAAGTGGCATTGATTTTTAAATATTCCTTTAAAATATACTGACAAAAATCGTATTTTTCAATTATTTCAGAAATTTTTCCAATTTGCAATTGTTTTATGGCGCAAAAGTTTTTAAAATTTTGTGCAAACATTAGAAGGATGCTTTGCTCAATTTTAAACAAGAAAAAATGGCAAAAAAATACAATTTTACTTAAAACCTCTGTATTGTCCCTGTATTATACAAAGCGTTCACGATGAAAGAAATATAAATTATTTACCATTTAATTGACAAAATGCTTTGATGTCTAATTGAAAATAGCGCTAAAACGCTTTAATTAGTATGCCTAACTGCACAAATTTCGCCAATTAAGCATTTTTTTTGTACAGGGCGTTTGCCCATAAAAATATTTTTGAAGTCGATAAATCCACCTTTGACAAATTTAAGGTTTCAAGAAGGCAAAGACCTAAAAGAACGTAATGTTTACCAATTATGAGTTTGTGTAAATTTTAAATCTGATGATGGCGCTGTTGTCTCGCCGAAATGTAATAAAATAAACGATATTCATAAGTTTTACTTCACGCTTTGACTAAGGCCCAGGCAAGATAAGAATATAATAACAATTACACGCAGTCAGGATTTTTCTTTATTGATTGAGTATTTAGATAGTTTTTTAATTTTTTGCTCTTTATTTCTACCTAAATTTTTGTTCAATTTATTTCATTTTATTTTGTCTTTCTTAACTACAGTCTGGCAGGTTTAACTGCATCCGCACTTTTAAAGTTGATTTCCAAAATTTCATATTTTTTTAATGCTCGCCACCTTTGCGGAACGGGCTTAAGTAAACTCATCATCAAGCTTAAATTTCCGTAGTCATTTAAAAGCGAAAAATGCATCATTATTTAAAGATAGAAAAAAAGGGTTTTTGCAAATTCTGCCTACATTTTAATGACAGTTGAACCGCGTAACTTTGTTGAATTCTCCTTTTAAAAAAATATAAATTTAGATCAAAAGTTCATAGATTTTAGCGCTGAAGAACGTACACACTTCTTGTTTCAAAACCGTTCATTATAGGCACTTAAATACGAGATTTCTCATTGGAAAAGGTACCAAATAAAAAAGTAAACATAAAATACAGTAAAGCAGGTAGTTTAAATTTGTAAACTAATTCAATTAATTCACCTCAGTCGTTCCAAGCGTTTTTACTGAAGTTATCATCTATTTTCTAAAAAAAATTATTCTTTTATGGTCAATACACGCTATAAATGTCATTATATTTTATAGCAAAAAATGAGATTTAACAATCTCCAATGAAGTGATTGAAAAAGTATAACCAAAAACTCAAGAGAAATGGCTAAAAATCCCGTTTGATCCGTAATGGTGGTTGCAATTTGGACAAGTTGTTTAAAGATTTGAATAAAAAACAATAAAATTGAATAAAACATATAAACCCCGAAAAAACGACGATGGTCTTGAATTAATACATCGACTACCTACTAAAAAACAGAAAAAATTGTGTCAATGCCAAACTGTTCCTTGAAAACAATATTATTATTATGCAACATTGCAAGCGAGTTGTTGAACCTTGGACTTGAATTACTTACACCAACTAATTCATTAAATATTTATTAGAAATACTTGGTTGAAACACATGCGGGATGGAATGAATACTGGTTACCAGTAGAGATATTATACAGTGGCGCATTATGAAGAGTAATTTTCGATGTGGGTTGTTTTGGAACACCCACCAGAAAAACGCCCACCTTCGATGCAATTGTAAATGCGTTTTTATCGCAACCGATTGGATGGTGGGCTTCGAGCAGGAAATATGCCAACTGTTTCTACCTACATTATTTTGGGTTAATAGAGGTGAAACTCTCGGCCATACCATTCAAAGTTCGTCTGAAAAACCGACAATAAAATATGCATTTTTTAAATAAGTTGCGTCAGAGGTTCTTATCAGGTTGGGTCGTAAATCTTGCGTGTCTTAATCGTTTATTGTCCCATATCGCCTATTCTGTAGTGGGAAAACTGCTAAAGTCCACATTTCGTTGTTTTGATGTTTTATTGCACGTATCAGTGGAGTCATTAACTTTCTCCAAATCAGCTTAATTACATTCCAACGCTTATTTATACAAACCCAACGGCTCCGGCTAGGAAAAAATCTCAGAACGATTAGTCAAAGTTGGTGATTTTTCCCCTTAAGATAGGTCAAGAACTCCCACATAAAGCCGAGGAATTTTACCTCACGAAACGGGATTCTTACTAATGATTATTTCTTGGAATGTTCACTATATGGTGCATCATTGTTGGTGTGGCATTCAGGTGCCTTTACAAAAGATTTACGATGACTTTTCCGTTTTCTAGGGCTTCAATGGAAGATTGGCATTTGCCATTGCGGCCTCAGCTTTGGGCTCATCCTTTCAGCACGGTTACAACACTGGGGTTCTTAATAATCCCGCCAAAGTAAGTTGATCTTATTCACCCTGTAGAGGG